CATGCATGCACAGTTTCGGTTGAAAACCGAAATAATGCATATGAAAAACCCGAAGTAATGCATACATGCACAGTTTCGGTTGAAAACCGAAATAATGCATATGAGAAAATACCGAAATTATGCATATGAATACTTTCGTTTTAAAAGCAAAATAATGCATATGAAAAAAAACGAAGTAATGCATACATGCACAGTTTCGGTTTAAAACCGAAATAATGCATATGGTAAAAACCGAAATAAAGCATACATGCACAGTTTCGGTTGAAACCCAAATAATGTCTAAATGCACAGTTTCCATATGCGCAATTTCGGTGCCCCTAATAAACATTTTACTTCTAATTGTATACTTTGCGTATTTTTTTTAGTACCTTTCTACTATCATTTTCGCAAAAGGTGATCACATTCTTTCCCTTTCTCCTACTTCCAAAATACAAATCCAGATAAAGGAGTGTCAAATTTGAGCTGTCACAAATTACATAGCCTTGTATTTTTGAATCATGGTTTCAAACCCATTTATTTAATTTTTATTTTATGGTAGGAGAGATAGAAGCAATTTTTTTGAAAAGTTATTGGCTGCGTTTCTTTATACATTCCGGATAATCCCATTTCACTGCCGGAATAAACAGAATGCGTTTGAAATATACGTCAACATATCATCAGGAGCGTTCTAAAGAATAAGTAAACAAAAAAGTTTATTCCAAACGTTCAGAATGAATAAAGAAATGCAGCCATTGAAAAGTAATGAATATCTAAATCCCGGTACTAATCCAGGGATCCCGGGATTGTGATACCGAGATCCCGAAAATCCCAGGATCGTAAAAAGCGTCAAAATTAACATCCCTAGTGCGGAGTGCCTAATCAAACGTTTGTCGCAAAGCTTAACAACCGAATTTTTTTCCATCGCTAACCTATCAACAATTATGGAAAAGAAAATTTCACACTTTGCGATAGAAACCGTTACTTGTTGCAAAGTTGCGATATCGATCCGAAATTTGTCGTTAACTGGTTACAGAATAGCACCACAAGACTACATTCCCACGACAGCCGGTTCAACGTACCGGAATGACTCGGGTTTCACCCGACCAACGGCTGTTGTTTCGGCGATCTAACCCCGTTTAGGTCGGCGAAGTATCTCAGAAGTTGTCCGTCCATAGGGCTGGCATCGAATCAAACCCAGGGCCAGAAACATACACCTGCTGTGTATGCCGGAGACGATTACACCACAACTCCACCTCAGTCAAGTGTAATGCCTGCGAGGGGTGGAGTCACCTCAGAGTCTGCTCGGGACTACGGACACATAGACAGTGGACCACGTCGTACGTGGCCCCCTGTTGCTCAAACAGAGCAGCCTTCACGGCTAACCACAGTCCGCCCGAGCAGCCCCACACACTCACACAGCTGCCTCACACACACACACCACAACACAAAAACATAATAACACCACAGACCGTACCACAGCCACTACAGACCACATAACACACACAACCGCACCACCACCCACACGCCGCCGCCAACAACTCCTGGTTCCCCCTACAATCAGCACGGTATGTCAGACCAGGATATTCCGTAATGTGACATCAGTCAAGTGCAACACCTGCCTTGGCTGGTGCCACTTTAGGGCATGCTCAGGTCTGCGTACCACGCGAGATTGGACTGGGAACTTCGAGGGCCCGTGTTGCGCTGCTCGGTCGCAGACCCCAATTGCGACGCCCCCCACCACCACAGGGCGGCAATCACCACAGCAGCACACACAGCCAACGGCGGCAAGAACATACACTTCACTTACACCCCACATCACGACACGTCTCCCGAACCACATGAAGCTCCTTCAATTTAACTGCAACGGGCTACAGAGCAAGATTGAGGAGATAACCGTCTTCATGTGTCGGCATGGTATATTGATAGCTGCGGTCCAAGAGACGAAGTTGCACAGCAATTCAACTTTGTTGAATTGCGCCGGGTACAACGTGCACCGTCGAGATCGCGAGCGAGATAATGGTGGTGGCTTAG